TATTGAAGTATAGTTGATATTCATCAATACTATTTAACATGAAGACTGTCTTAAATGTGCCCAATTCATACTTCATGTTTAAAATGAATTAGAATAAAAGTATCTTTTTAGAAGTAAACAAAAAAGGGTCTTGAAATGGACCAGCATTTGAAAATCAGAAGTATCCAATATCTGTAAAGACAATAAAAGGCATAAAATTTGGATTTAAATGACTTCAAATATGATTTTATGATTAAATAGCTTTATTTCATTTGGGATTCTTCCAAATTGGTCAACTGGGCAAATCATCTTGAAAACCTGGTAGCATTAGGAACCATTTTCAAATATGAAATTATACATAACTCGCTAACAAATGAGCTCTGTTATATGATATTTTTTTAATTTCCAAGATTTTACTTTGTCTAAATAATTTTTGAAACTGACATTTTCAAGAGTCTCAAGAATAATAATAATCACATCTATTCTACATGTGAAAAATGTTTTCATGCCAAACTACGATAAAAACAAAGATGACTAATAAGTTGGTGATGAAATACTACGAAAAATCCTTAAACATGAACACACTGGAGTAAATGTTTTCATAAATTGTATAATTTATTAATCACTGAGACATGAACTCTATTCTACATCAACTGAACTGCATATAATTCAAATGTTCATATATTTAAAAACTGTTAATCTCCAAATGTTTTTATACCCTATACTATTAATAAAAATGCTTTAAATTTATCTGTTACAGTAATTATTCTTATTTCTTCCGTTTCCATTACTTTGAGATGTTTTCTGAACAAAGTAATAAAAGGAACATAAAATATATAAAATCGCCGTAATATGGACAATTGTGTTTTCCATTAAGATCAAACTACAAACCAGAAATAAAGAGCATAAGATGAAAATACCAACATATTTGAAAGGTAAATTAAGAATTCCAACCAAATTATTAACAAGTACTTAAGCCTATCAAGTAATGGTAGGTGAATTAGTCATTTTGAAATTACTCCCTTTGAGAAGAAATTCTTACATAAGTAGTGAAATAGATGAAATACATTTATGTTAAAAATTCTGTATACCATAATTGATGGCAAAGAATTCCAAATATATAACTAACAAACAAAGAAAATATTATGCAAGTGAGCTGAAGAGAGGGCAGTAAGGAGAACGGATTCTATCCCTCCCCTGAACAAAATAAAGTTTATCTCACTGAGAGAGAGAATATTTATTTGGAAATAAGCATCAAAATTTATGTAAAGGAAACGTAAATTATAATAAACATCAACAGGTAGTTACTGGGTAACACTGCCCCTCTCCAAAAGGATCTCATTTTAATTACCATGTGACTTATCTAAAATATTATCAAATATTTAAGTCCTATCAAAGTTTATAACATTTCAAAAAGTTACAAGAGAACTTTCCAAGTAATTTAAACATGTTATCCCACAATCTAACTGTGGATGCAATTTTTTTAACTGTTAATAATAAACTAATAGAAGTTATTAATTATTAACACTTACACACTAACTGTACATTGATGACATCACCTTACTAGTAACCTAGACTTACAAATCTGTATTAACCATGTATGCATATTCTTACTTCAATTGAAAGACTAATCTCTGTGTTTTGCACTGGATTCTAAAGTAAGAAATTCCTACAAATATACCCTAGTTACAAATAAGTCATCGTGAAAACTGTCAAATTTTAAATATTAAATATTTTAAGGAACAACTCGAAAGCAATAAGCTTAAGAAAATTCACAAAATATTTACACATTCTTGTAAGTTTTTACAAATATTATTAAACACTATCAGGTTTCCATATTAATGTGTCAGAATACATATAATTATTATCAATCCATAATCATATGACCATTTAAATCACAATATTAGGAAGTCAAATAAGACTGACATTTTAAACCACCAATGGTCACACACCATCCTCAAACAGCAGAGTCCTCACTGCATTTATCAACAATTAAGGACAGGGAAGGTACATTAGCTAAGTCATATGTTTATTTTTGAGAAGTTGGTGACATTACAGAGACTAGAAGAAAGTTTGACTGTATTCTTGCAAACATACTTTAAGAAGAATTATGTAACTAAAAATGTACAGCTCTATTTTAAAGTACACATGCATATCTTCATTTCATAGCAACTGAACAATATATATGCATATCTTCTCTTCATTTCATAGCAACTAAATTGTTTTTGATGTGCAGTTCTTTGCAGTCAGGATTTTTTTGCTAGTCCTATTTAATTGTATGTTTTTTATATATTTATTTATTATTGAAGTATCTGTAGTTAATATCTTTTCAAGAGAAAAAAATCCTGGGAGCCTTGGCATAAATTTTTAAATATTATATTAAACTAAAATTATTTTTTCATTTCCCCAAATATATACTATTAAAAATGTTTCATAATACTTAAAAAAATCCAATGACACGTGTACTTCTGAATACTCAAAAAGAAATTGCATGTATTTAAAATAATGATATTGTACAGTTAAACATTTAAAATTCCTAATTATCTACAATGCTTATTCTTTCATAACAAAATAGCACATAGACATTACAGGGAAAAAATTAATTTGAATGATACATTAATGTGGTATGCTCTCAAAAATTCTCGTACAGTAAAAATGGCAATAAAAGAATGATTTTAAAAGTATTTTAAAAACTGTTGTAAAATGGTCCTGAATTGCAACCTGATTGTGTAAGTGATGCTGACAATATACCTGCACAGATCATTTATGACCATCTAATTGTTACTTGAAATTGCCTGGCTACAATCTGTAGGATTCTGCCTTTTTCAGAACAATTATTCATATGATTTATATGCAATTTGTGTAAGTCCCAATAGAAGACAGAAATTCCTCCCAAAGCCTAAAATCAAGAAGAAAAAAATAAAGCAATAATTTTCCCTAGTAAAAAAGTGAAACATATTTCAAAAAATGAATACTGTAGCCATCAAAAAAACTCCCTAAAGTATCACTTTCTAATTTCAAATTTAAAGAATATCACTGCTCTTTTTTTACATCACAAAAATGCTAAGACTTAAGTTTTATCAACTTTTTTACATACTTCTTCCCAAGAATGTATCTAGATATATCCTTCTGAAAAATACATTTTATCTCCCCATTTTAATACGTTTTTGAGTAAATACATGACTTGGAACAGAGGATTAAAGCAATTGAATGTTAATAATCTATAGTTGTACTCTAGAAACTGTTTACAATCTATAAATAAAACTTTTCCCGCAAGAGGGTATTTCATAATTCAGTGGACATACATATGTTTACCAACATATAATCATTAAATACCTTAAATTTGGATGTCTTGTGGTTCTTCTCAACATTAATATTGGTTAATAAAATGTCTAGCATTTGAAAGTATTAAAAGGAAAACATAGAAAACCAAATTATAACAAGGTGTGATCAAAGAAGAAAAGGGCTATTTTTTTTCATTCATCTATAAAACAAATTTATGAGATCGTAAAGAACAATTTAACAACCTAAAGAAGGTTCAAAGTGGGGAAAGCCAGAGCCTGAGAGAAAATGAATTTGTCAATGATTTCAAGTCATTCAGTCTAGGGAGGGAAAAAGCTGAAAATGTACGTTCATTTTACAATATAAAGTAGGAGGCATAAAATCCAGTAGCCTGTCTATGGACTACTATTTACATATTTAAACCCTGTTTCAATTCACAGATTATGCTGATCCTTCCACATGTAAACAGCCAATAATGATGGCCAGGCCTTTAGGAAAGGAAAACATACACCACACAGCAAGGTCAGGAAGCTACCAACCACCACAGGACAACAGATCAAAACAGAATGGTTTCATATGTTTCTATTGTTTATATACTTAATTTTAAGAGGATATTCCTTGGGGATAAAGGAGGTTGTAAACATGACCAGGAAGGGGCAATACAGTATCAAATAAAATATATAATTTTCATGCAAGTATACTATTTTCTCCATGTATCTGTCAGGCAACCTGTGGTACTGAATGCCATTCATTCAATTTTTAATACTTAAATGTCAAGCCAAAACAAACCTCTTTGGTCTTAAATCCCTTTACTCCTAAGGATTCATTACAGAGAATTAACTTCTTTCAATGCAATAATCAAACCTGCAAATTCTAAATATATTTTTTTTACTATGATGAGATTAAGCAATAGAGAGGAGTAAAAATGGAAGAGGTATTAATTTACTTGTTTCTGGGTAAATTTCTGAAAATGATAAGCAATGACATTCTGTTTGGTATTTAAGCATCTTAAAAAAATTACAACACAATATAAGCAATGGTGGAAATTTACCCAAAGTGGCAGACTAGCACATTTTAGACACACAAGCTAGAGCCACAGCTGGCCACATGCTTTTTTGAGTTCAGTTTCTTAAAGAGACAGTCTCCTTGGACCTATGCCCTAAAAGGGAGCACATTTCTAAATGTCTGACTACCAACCAACCTATCCTTGGGCATTTCATCAAATCCATGGTAGACCAATAGTGTTCTATCTTATTTTACTGTGAAATCAAATTATTTTTATTTAAACCTACAAATGACTACCAGGGAGGCAGAAATATAATAGGGGAAGCTGGTGTGACTAAAGGTGTCTAAAAGGTGTCCTACAATAGCAAAAGTTTGTTTGTTTGCTTTTTTAAACTTAAGTGATCCCTGTTTCTTCATTCATTTCCCCATTCATTCACTAGGCACAGACGACGAAGTATATTGTAACCGATAACACCGGAAGCTACACTACAGCAATTTCGCTGTCGAATGAAGAGGAGAACTTGCTAATAAAGTCAACCAGCAGCCAAGCGGTGAAATTTCAAAGATTTCATTTTCTGTTTAGGAAAAGATACCCAGTAAGGGGACCATACACATACCGGATTAACTCCTGACTGCAAGGAAGATTTTGTCTTTCAGCGTATGACCACTGACAAAACTACTGACCAAATCCTGCACATGGTAAAAGGAGAAGAGGGGGAAAAAGTTTGGCTTACTTGGTGCACAAACACATCGACTGGAATATCCAAGGGGCTTCCCTCTCGGTTTATCATGGAGATGAATCCAAATCCCATTCGCACATTGAACCACTTACAGTGGCCAGTTCCGTGCAAAACCTGGGATTCCTCCTCTGCCTGCTCCGGCAGCTTCCCGGGCCCTTCACCACCACCTTTGCCTGCCCCGCCTGAGTAGAACAGGACAAAAAAAAGTCAGTTAGTCTGTATTCCCAAACTGTTCGCTGAAAGAGAAAAAAACTGCTTGGGGGTGGGGGGTGGGGGAAGGAAACAGAAAGAAACTCCAATAAAGGTTGATTCTTTTCTTCTACAGAAAATATTTAAAATGAAAGGGTTAAAAGGGGAAGCGGGGGAGGAGGGAGCCACACTGCTCTATCGATCACATCAACTTCCACTTTTCTGTACATACGTGTACTTTTTCATTTAACTCCATTTTTTTCGGCCACATATTACGATTACAGCATGCGATACTTTACTTGCATATTGCTGATTTAACACTCGTCCCATTTACAAAAAGAAAATTTCGGCGTAACTATTCCCTCCGGCGGGCACGAGGAGAAAAGAGAAATCGTGAAGATGGTTAGAGCTAGTTAATACACATGCAGCGGCAGTGAATCCAGGGTTATTTGCAATGTGCATTCCCCTCCCCCCAATAACTTTCAATTAAAGTTGGGGTGGAATGGGGGAGGGGGCAGGTGTATAAAAGTTTTCTCGGGCTCACTAACTGAAACTGCGCTTAATCACACTCAAACAATTCAAACAATAGCCCCCTGAAAGCTTTTCAAGTTGTGAATCAGTGTGGGCGGTACAAAACATTTTTGGAGATCTATAACAATAGGTTGCAGAAAGCCCCATTGCGCGATGGGGAGTGGGGGTAATGCCCAGTATTGGGGTAAAAGGGGAAGGGAGGACGGGCAAAGAAGGGTGGGAAAGGGGGAGGGGGGGAGAGAAAGGAAGAGAGAAAATCACAGTAAAACAATAGAAAAGAAAATTAACCTTCGGCCATGTTGCCCCACGGGCCCTCTGCTCCAAACTCGTGAGATGAAAACTTTCCCTTTGGAACGGAGTGATCTTCTGAATCAATCTAACATCTTGATTTTGTGCGATCACAAATTTAGCTCGCATGGTCTAATGTGCTTTCCCTCTTTTGATTTTTTTCTCTTCTCTCTCCAGTTTCTGGCCCCCTGAGCCACGTGACTTTGTCAATTACATGCTTTCTTGCTACTAATTTCACCTCGGATCCTTAAGGGGCTGGCAAGAGGAAGAGATAACCAATCGCCATTTCATCTATGCTGACATCAAAATAATTTATGAATGAACATGAAAAACTCAAACATGTTATCTTAAAGACAATTTGGGACGCTTCTTTGCGATAAATCAGAATGCTGATTTCGTGCTTTTACTTAGACACAATGGAGGGTCCTTGTGAATCGTCGATTTAGAAAAAACGGCACGGTCATATATGTGCACACGCGTGCCTTACACACAAGCCTGTCTAAATAATCTCATTTAGGGGGAAAAATCCCTCTAAATAAAGCAACCAATGTTACGCTTTTTCTCCCCTAAGAAGTCAGCTGCTCCGTAATAGTCAACCTGCTTGGGGCAAAGAAATTCATATTTAACTCAATTCTGAGAGGAAAATGTGTAATTTACAAAGGACCTAATTAAACCTAATTACATCTCCATGAAACTTGAGATAATAGTAACATACACCTACAATAGGACCAAAGCACACATTTCCCTGATCGTGCCCCGAAATTTTTTTAGATTTAAAATTAGATCTTACTGGAAAAATCGCTAGCACTTTCATGTACTCAATTTATGTTGTGGTTCATCATTTCGGAACATTTTGAACGGGGAATTGTACTTCACAGGTTTCTCCGCCATCTCTTTCCGGGGGAGGAGATGTGATTAATGACTTCCTAAATAACAGCCCAGTTTTCCAGCCTAACATAGAGTGAACCTCAATCAGTGGCGATTGTTCCCCAAGAGCAAGACGACGTAGGGCAGGGAGGGGGAGGGGAGCGCCAGCACAGGCTGCAGCAGAGCCAGAGAAGGGGGGGGGGGGG